AAACGCTACTGAACCACAGCTACAGGTATTCTGCCTTAGATGTGTGCATTATTCCTAGCCCCAGGCAATGGAACCTTCATTATTTACCTACAACTTCTCCACACACAATTCATCTACACAGAAACACATTTGCAAAGTTCCAATAACCACATTGCAATAATCCTTCATGCTGTTAAGGAGAGAGCTCTACTCAGCAACATATCAATCCTTACACATCCTGCCCTCTGCATACTTAAAGAAAATGACTACAGCCTTAATTCTGAAAAAACAGTATTTTCAGAAATATATATGCCTGTGTTCAGAAGTTATGAAAAAGTTCCAGTGCTTAACACATTTTTTTTTTAAGCTATCACATTTCATACATTTAAGTATTACATTTTCATTCCACAGTTAAATTCTCTAGGTAGATTTGCAACTGAACTTTTTTGCTTTAGACATAGCCAAAATGACAATATGCTGTGTTAGTCTGACCTTTGCCTGCCATTCTCTCTCTCTTGCTTCTGCATTTCTTCGTAGAGCAGAAAGTTCCAAAATCTCCTTATTTAAAAATTTATTCTGGGTCTTATAACCCTGAAGATTGTCCTGTTGATAAAAAAAGCAAACTGGATTTTTAATGAAAATATCTTATAAACAGCAAGTGCCTACCAGGGAAAGTACACCTTAGAATATAAAACAAGGAGCTACTAATAGGACTTATCATTCAGAAAAACCAGGATCAAATCAAGTGTTCTATTTAGAATTCACCTACATCAAACACAGGGGCCATACGAGCAGGGAGGTGTGCAGGGAGGTGCTGTGCCTCACCTGCACCCCTCAGAGTGCCGAAAGGGCAGAGGGCAGCTGGGTGCTGCTCGCTGTCCCAGGGCAGGCCCAGCCCCAGCCCTACAGGTCCACACTAGCGGGGAGCACAGAAACGAGCAGACTGAGCACACCAGAGAGCACGGTGCTGCACGGCAGCCAGAAGCACACAGCATGCAGTGCAATGGAGGGTGAGGAAAACGCCCCTTGGGTTTTAGCTGCCCTCACCAGTCCTTGTTTAAAGTACAAGTATGATGTCTGCCTCGGTACAAAAATATAAATCCTTAGCGGTAAGCTTCCTTGCTTAATCCAGTCAGCTCCAGGCTACAAATACTACCTCTGAAACCTGAGGCTGTGGGACAAGGGAATGTTGGTACCCTCCCAACAACTACAGCGCTCCCACACTTCACAGCACCTACAAGCTTTTATCTGCTTTCTGCCAATACCACTGATTTCTAGTTTCAATCTGTATTTTCCCAGGCTCATATACTGGAAAGAAAATCATGAACTTTTATACATATTTTAAATGACAGTTGTATTCCAAATCCCTTGAAATGTTAATCTATCTGGAACACAATGTTTATCCAAACACAAAACAAGTATGTTTATAGCAAAGCGGGTAACTTCAGTAACTCCTTAAAGAACTTCTGAGGCATTTGCTGAGGCAGATTAGAGGAAAAAAAATATAAGGTAAGATCTGGAACAGCATTACTAAAACAGGCTCTTATACTCCTTTTTTCTCATTGGATTTACCCTTTGTCATTCCACATGTTCCTTGCTTCCTCACTTTTGATATTTTAAAAAAATAAATAAATAAAAACAAAAACCCACCAAACCAAAACCCACAAGCTTTCTGCTTCCTTTCCTCTATGCTTGTATTTTCCTCTTACCCTTACTTCTTCCTGTTCCTTTATTTCTCACATCACTCCTCCACAGAAATGATGAAATTACTGAAATTATGGGGCACTGTACTATAGATGTACAGACCAGCTCAAAGTCCTCTTTAGACTGCCACATAACAGTTCAAAGCATAGATTCCAAGCAGGCAAAGCCTTAGTTGATGAGTATCTTGGAGAACTGCTGTTGATCTCAAACAGTACAGCAGACTAGAGACTAATTTTTGTAGGCAGTAGAGGTTCCCCCTATCAGTTAAGACTGAGACATTGCTCTTACTTTTAGTCTGTCCAGTTCCTGTAGTTCCTTATTAGTAGAGGTGGCCATGGAAGAATTTACTGCTCCACTCTGAGAGGACACAGTATCCTCACATTCACTGAGTTGATGAGAGAGTTTCATGATCACTTCATCTTTAGCTTGAATAGTTTCCATCAACATACCCAGCTGCTCATTGAGTTCTCCAACTTTACATTTCAGATTCTTTACTTCCTGCTGGAGACTATCTTTTTCCAGATTCAACTTTTCAAGCTGGTTGTTGAGACCCAAAATCTGGTTGTCTTTCTGGTGCAACAGCTCTAATTTGTCTTTGGGAACCCCCTCCCAAAGACGGCTTGCAAAGTATTTATCATATTGGGAAGATCGGACTGTTTGCTGCAGAAGTCGCACAAGTTCCTGAGAATTTCAAAAAAGAAATTGTAATAACATTAAGTCGAGCAAAAGAAAGCTCTGGAACAGGTTTTGCATCTGAATCACAACCTTGCAAAAGAATTTAAGGTGGTGTTTTCAGGAAAAAAGGAAACATTTACATGATGTGATTTCTAGCAGTCTAACACCTTAAAATGACTGGCCTATACGGATGGCTTAAATATCTTTCTCTGAGCTAAGGATCCTGCCTAGAAAGGCTACAACAGGTTTGCTAAGAGTAGCTGACAGCTGTGGCCCAGTAGTTACTTGGAAGCTAAAAGGGGTTTACTTTTAAGGAGCCCTGTTGTAAGAAGATAAAAAGCATGAAGGTCAAAACCTAAATTATTGTGGTTTTATTTCAACCCAACAAAAGAAAAGTGAACAGGACAGAGATGGATCTACAGTGTCAAATATCAAACTATAGTCTTTAGAAAGGTCTGAGAAGAAACTAACAATTACTGAACAGCTGGATGAGAGATACAAGTCAGCCCCACACCCTGACCCTCCCCTGCAGAATTAAAAGAATCAAAAAACAACAAAGAAAACAAAAAGGACTTGAACTGACTTAGTAATTACAGGTACTAATGGCAAAAGAAGCTGTGATTATCTGCCAGGGTCCTGTCAGATACTGAAGAAAGCTGTCTTCAGAGAATAAAAAAGATGTATAAACCAAGTTAATGAGCATTGTGCAAATGAAAGTTTTGTTCAGGGATCTTACCTTCAACAGACATAAAACCTGGTCCTTTTTCTTTCCAGGCTTTTTGTAAACAAGTGTTACAAAATAATGGTGCTAAGTGACAACTAACTAGCTCTTAATGCCATTAGATAGCCATAAAAGGTAAACTCACAGCCACTTGCCCCATCTGTTTGCTTCTGTGCACTTTGCCTGAAGGCTTAGTTACCTTTTGGCTCAAAAGATCTTTCTTCAGCTTTTCCAACTCTTCTTGCTGGCTTTGATACTTCAGCTGCAGTTCAGAGACTAGCTTGTTGCCATTACCAGAACACCATTCAGTTGGGGAAGAGTCGCTGCTGTTTCGGTTTTTGCTTGATCCAATCATGTCTTTTAACGGGCGCCTTGTTTTGTGTGGAATGCGGCCAAAATCGAATGGAAAAGCTGAACTAGTCAGTCCTGCATAAAACAATTTCTTCTAGTTCAGTTAACTTAGTAAAAAGGCATTTCAAAGCATTCAGACTTCCTTTTCAAAATATGTTCATTAAAATTAGACCCTAAGCAGCATTTGAACAGCCTGATACCATAGCGTTAAACATGCCTCATTTTCCAAGTCACTTCCTTCAGTGGGAAAAGTATGTAGCTTGGTCTCCTCCCCTCCCAGGTACAAGATTTAGCTCATATATGGACACTTGTGAAATAAGACATAAAGCGAACTTTACCCTTCATTACAGAAAAGGTACCCCTAACTATGGCAAAGTAAACTTTGCTTCAAATAATCAGTAGCTCAGAGGCGATCAGAGCAAAAGCATCACTGATATCACAGCATACAGTTCTTTTAAGAGGCATTCAGTGTAAGGTTTCACCTCCATTTACATAACCACGGGGGTACTCTTAGAGAGAAGAATGCTTTCTAACAGATTAAATCACTTGGATATCAGCGAAACTGCTCTCAATTAGATCTAAAAGTGTCTTCACAAGGTTATGCCAGGTCAAATGCAAGAATTAGACAGAATGCACAGATGAGCTATCACTGCATAGGCATCCCTCCATTTTCCCCATTTCAGAAGAAAATATGTGTCACGCTTATACATACTTGAGAATCTCAAGACAAATTCTTCTTCAAGGAGCGACACAACTCAGTAATCAAAAGCCTCAAAATTTCCCTTTATCCTGACAATCTACAACTCAAGTGACAAAACTAAATATGGTAACATGCTCAGGGAACCTGAAACAGCGGATAACAAGGCTTTGTAGTTATTTTATTGTATCTGAATGGCAGGGGACCCCAAATACAACATAAGGAACTGAATTTTTTAAAAGAATAAACAGAGCTCTGGATGTGGTTTGCAAAAAAAAAAAAAAAAAAAAGCTTCCACTTAGTTCCTAGAGACAGACATAACAGACTGTAAAAAAGAAGGTATGGCATATGCTCACTCCCCTTCTTTCCTCCCACTTCTACCTTTATTTCCTTCTGCCAGGTGCTTCCTCTTTTCTTCCAGGGCCATCGAGTCCTCCAAGTCTTTTGGGGTTGGATCCAGCAATTCCCACTCTTCAGTGGTATAAAATATGCTCTTCCGGTTTTCATTATTTCCTTTTCTTAAAGAGGACATTGAATTTCTGTGAAAAAGACAGCAGGAAAAGCAACAAAGATTTCCCCGGTTTGCATTCTTTTTAGAAAGAGATTTTTTTTCGAGACAATCACTGCACCTGAAACAGTGCTAACAAAAAATAAGCTAAAACACAGTCAAAACCAATACCAAATAAAAGCTCCAAGAACGTAAACATAATCTACTAAAGAGCACCTGCAACCGACAGTCTTATGTTTCAACAGAAGAATTACTTTGCTTTAACAATACATTAATATCTAGGAGACCACTGCAGTCTTTTGTGCCATCCTGTTTTCTTCTTGTTTTGATAATATTCTTGTTTTGAAGAAAAAAAACAGAACAAAAATAAGAATTTAGAAACAGCATCTCTTTATTGATCAGTTATTGTAGCTTAGATTTTTAGGATAACTGCCAAGCATTAAAGAGAACAGCATGCAGTCAAAACATATGTATGTTATAGCGTCAAATCCTGTATTAATGTCAAAATTCGTATCATCCAAGAGACCTGTTGTAGCTGAATTGCTGATGACAGACTCCTTAGCAGTTTCTCTGTCCTGAGGTGGAATGTTGCCAATTATCTGCAAGAATATTTCAGGGGTAACCTCTAAATTCCAGCCCAATAATTCTACAGAACAGTATGTTTTGTGAGCAGGATGAGATTATCCAACTTCCCCCACAACCATCATGCAATTAGGAATGTTTAAGTCAACTCTTAGGTCCATGAGTATAAACGTAGCTCAATATTGTGAAGTCTTTGTTAAACTAGAGACAAAGTTCAACTACAACAATCCATACAAAACAGTTTAATATTTTAGGCCAAGGACATCCTGGCCTGTATCAGAAATGGTGTGACCAGCAGCAGGGAGGTGATTGTGCCCCTGGACTCGGCACTGGTGAGACCACACCTTGAGGCCTGTGTCCAGTTTTGGGCACCATAGGATAAGAAGGACATGGAGGTGCTGGAGCGGGTCCAGAGAAGGGCAACGAGGCTGGTGAGAGGGATGGAAAACATGGCTTAGGAAGACCGGCTGAGGGAACTGGGGTTGTTCAGTCTAGAGAAGAGGAGACTGAGAAGGAGACCTTATTGCCCTCTACAACTACCTAAAAGGAGGTTGTAGGGGATCTGGTGTTGGTCTCTTCTCCCAAATTACTGATGATAGGATGAGAGAAAATGGCCTCAAGTTGCACCAGGGAGGTTTTGATTAGATATTAGGAAGAATTTCTTGACTGAGGGAGGGGTTAGACACTGGAACAGGCTGCCCAGGGAGGTGGTGGGATTGTCATCCCTGGAGGTGTTCAAAATCGAGTAGATGCAGCACTTGAGCCTATGGTCGAGTGGTTAGGGAAATGCTGGGATGGAGGTTGGACTTGATGATCCTTGAGGTCCTTTCCAACCACAATGATTCTATAAGTGCTCAAACCAGGCAGGGATAATGCTAGTCCACAGCTTTGAAGACACGTCACTGCAAAGCCAATGCTAATGTGAATAAATGTGTCAGGGGTTCAGGCAGCAGGGTTGTGAGACTCTTATCCCAGTAATGGAATACCCGGCCAGAGACAGTCCACAACTCTGCACATCACACTGCAGATTTTAGCTGCTGGCTCAATAAATCCTCTGCAAAATGACTTTTCAAGAGCTCAGAAGAGGATGTTTGAGCAAGATAAACAATCCTGATGAAGACAGCATCTCCCACTGGTGTCAGCTTGCAGGGGGGAATACAGGCTTTAAAATTTGAAGCACATGGGGGCACTAGAGCACTCTATACAAAAAAAATCCCACAGAATTAAATAAAAAATTAATCTGTTAGTAGACACAATAAATATTATTTTCCCAGGAGCATTTTCAGATGGACAGATGAATCACTGCAGCTGAGTATCTCCAGAGAGTGGAATGGGGGAGGGCAGCATTCAGCCTGAATGAGCTTCAGTGTGAAATTTGCTTAGATGTTTATTCCCAGAGATCTACAAGGACTTCAAGCCACAAGCATCACAGCCATACAGAGAAAGGCCCACTCTTAAAGGCCATGCTACCATATCTGCCTGACCACTGCCACTGGAAATATTTTCCTGCAGCCATTTTCATCCCAAGTGCTTCTCAACGACAACTCCACTGTTCCCTGTCTGCTCAGTTACAAAAAAAAAAATAAACACACACCAAGCAGGCAACACTGAGCAGCTTACCCTGACATTGTCATTCTAGCTAGACTTCCCCAAAGCATACCATCTGCAAGTCAAAAATAAACAAAACAACAAAATCAAGAAAAAGTCATTTTAAAAAGTCAGAAACACTAATTCCAAGTAAACAGGAATACACCTAAACGCACTGTAACATCCTTTGAGTAGAAGTGGAAGATCCATCTATGTGGACTGAGCAAAGTATAGAAACCATTTAAAAAGAAACCATAACAGGAGAGCTGAAAACCAGTGCAACTGCTTTCCTTAAGGCAATTAATACTAAAGAGTAAACTCACTAGGACTGAGGTGATAAGATGTGGGTTTCCTGATCTTCAGGGAGGGTCTGCCACATTTTTGCTCAAGAATTCTAACTATACCAATTTCAAATCGGTGACATGCTTATTTTTTTTCTAAGAAGAAAATTAAGAATGATTTATTTTTTTTATTTTTACCACTAAAAATACTTCATAAGCACTAAATATTATGAATACTACTGTGTTCAGAGAGCAGAGCCATCACCGGGAATGCTTTGCAGGACTTGAGTCTTCTTTTCAGGTATCAGTAATGCTAACACAACAATGTTCAGCTATGCCTTTCAAACAAGTAGCATAAAGAAACAGAAATAAATAAATTGAACACTTGAAGGGTACAGTCCAACACACTGATCCACCACCCCTAGTTCATCCAAAAATCTCTGCCTACCACATACATACATCTTTCAGTAGGGAACAGTCTCTGCCACCATCTATCAATCTCATGATAAATCTTTACCCCACATTCCAAACTTACTTGATTTCAGTGCTCCATTGTTTAAGTGAGAAATTAATGGCACTTGGTTGGACTGGTGCAGGTTGGGAAGCTGCTTGTTCTCCCACCAGATCTGTAGGAGAAGTCTCCACAGCTAGAATATTTCTAGCTCTCTCTGCCGAAGCATTTTGACTTAGGATATTCAAATCTATGTTAAAATAAAAAAAGAGAGCGAGAAAAAGAAAAACAGGCAAAACTTTCAGTAAGTAAAAGAATAGCGACAATATAAAGTAATGCTATTGAACCTGCTAGTAATATACTTAGGGTTTTATTTAACTGCAGTATAACTTTATGCTCTGTTCAAATGAATTTTAAAAAAAGCAAAGTCTTTCCCTCAGTGAGCCCTCACTGCAGCCACATATTTCTGATAATAGGACTTGTGTGATACTCACAAAGCATTATTTCATTAGTGATTTACAATCTCGATTAGCCAATATGGATTGATCTAGCACAAGCAGCTATAAAGCCATAACAATTAATTATATTAATCCACAAAACCCCCCTGTAAAACAAGCTCAGGTCAATCAGAACTCCTAAGTCAGGAAGAAAGTCACAAAAATACTACGATATAGCTTTCAGGGTGTGCTTCATCCTAGAAGTTATTCACCCTAAAAGTGACACTGCTGCTGCAAGTAAATAAGCTTAATGGACTTGAGCTAGCTCTGTACAAATCCAGCCTGGGCGTTCCCAGGCCAATAACATGAGCACTCGCCAGAGACCTACTGAATCAGCAAGGACTTACTAGCTCTGGTTGAACTGAATGCACCTACACCTAAATTCATCCAGCCAAACTCTCCTGTGCACTTCAGCAAATCTACAGATCAGGCACAGAGCCATGCAGACATGCAGCTCAGGCCCAGCAAACTCGTGCAGGTTCTGAAGGGCTCCACAGGAACCAGCCAAGAACTGGCACTAGCCCTGAGCCACAGCTATTAAAGTCCAGAGGATCCAAGCCAATCCAACAGAGCTAGCCAGGTCTCCATCACGCCACACCACACTCTCCAACATATATACTACAGATTCTACAGTACAAATTACCTCAGTGTTTCCATTATTGTGGATAGCTGGCTTTCCCCCTCAACCCTCCTCCAGCAGGCAGAGGGAATAGGAAGTGCAGAGTATGGAATACACTACAAATAGCAAAAGCATTATAGAGAAGCATAAAATAGTCTGTGGCCTTCTACAAACTCTCTGAATAGGCGGGTTAAAAACAAGCTCAAATGTAATTTTCAGACTTTTTTCCATATAATTCAGAAAGTATCGCAGTGGATTAAAAAAGTTTGAGAACACCCTCAGACTTGATTCAGACGTTATATTAGAAAGTAACACACTGTATGGACTTCTGAGTTCAACAACTCTCTTCAGGAAGGGAAAAACCCTGGGAAGTTAGGATACTCTGTTTTAGCACTGGTACACCTTTCAGTCTTTGTTTTGAAGATTACTCAGCACTAGCAGCCAAGAAGACTATCTTTAAGCAATATGCTCCCCACTTACTCAGCAGATGGTTATTTTTATTTAGCCCATTATCATAAGAAGTAGAAAGACACAACATTTTGTGACAAAGAATACCAAACATAAAAAAGATCATTGACACTACAAACCTCTCAAATCCCTCTCAAAATCACTCAAATCTCTCCTGCAAAATGTTATATGAAACAGAAGTTTATCACGTCATCTTTCAAGCACAGGTACAACCTACGCTGCCTCGACAACTCTTCTGAACAGCACTGACAAACAGCTTCAGTGCCTTATTGGCCAAACAAAATCCCCAATTCTTCTGGAACTTGGCTATTTCATCCAACCACAATTCAGCTAAGATACATTTAATAAAACTAATTTTTGATCATATTCGGTGTCTAATAAAGGGGAAAGATGCAGATTTCAGATCAAAAAAAAAAGAAAAAAATATTAAAAAACAATCACCACACCAAAAAAAATGTACAGACACCAAAAAAACAGACTGCAATACGAACATTCTGTTTTCATACTTATTCATACTTACAGCTTATGTTATCTTCTACCTGTATGATTTGACAAGGCTACAAAATCTTTTTATAGCATGGCCCAGATAAATTAATTGCTCAAGAGCTGAATTTCTAATAAATGCATTTCCTCCAACAGTGATGCTAAGGCAGCTCCATGACAAATCTCAGAGAACCATTTTTGTAACATTAGCTTTCACACAGCCCACCTGGAAAAATACAGTATTTTTCACTACTTTGAATTTTCTTAAAAACTTGTCAAGCTTGATCCATAAGCAATGCCTTAGATTTCCTATGTTCCAGTTTGTTCAGATTCCAAAACTAAGGGGGGAGAAAGGATAATGGGACAAAACAGGCAAGACTACAGTGAGCAGTTTTGTTCCTGGACTGAAGACATACTACTTCCCCGTTTAGAACATTAGTGATAGCATCTGTACTCAAGCACTAGCAAAACAGATTTCTATGCTCCAGTATAAAGGGCATCACCAAATGCACAGTCGCTTAAAAAAACCAAACAAACAACAAAAAAGCAAACACACAAGACACGTATCCACGTATTTTAGTCATCAACATGGAATCAGTGCCTTAAAGAGTCCCACAACTCTATAGAAAACTTTTGGAGTACTTGTTTAAAAAGCAGAAACAATCATCAAACATTCAGGCATTTTCCCCAGAAGAAGATCCCTACTTAAACACTGCAGTCAATGATACAGTCATCAGTGACTTGTCCTCAAAAATGAGATACACTAGAAACAGTTTCAAATTATACATAATGCCACTGAACTGCAGCCTGTCCCTGAAAGGGATGGGTCTGCTCAGTTCACGTATATTATCTTGACATTCTTTGCACCACATTCAGTAATAATAGTTTTTTTTTTAAAAATTAATAATATCACACAAATTGGTTCAGCTTGGTGACCCAGAAAACACCCAAAAATTTACAAGAATAGCAAGTATCAGACCAGTGATCTAAAGTGGCTGGATTACAATTGCTAGATCTGATGCAAAGCAGGAGTGGGGGAACAGGACCTACACAGACCACAGTGACAGCAGGTTCATTTCACAGGGTACCTAAGCTCTGAGGGAAGTAGCTCAGACAAGAAAGAACAGAGATCTGGGGCCAAGTTATGCATTATAGTTGATTTGATCTAACAGTCTGCTGCCAAAAGAGGGCAGTCCTGCCTCACTGCTTTGCTGTCTTCCCGTATTTATCTGCTCTGTATTGTTCCCTCCCTTCCATTAGCTCTGGAAGTCACCTGATTGCACAGTAAATATATTCCACGCATTAACCTAGCAGAAAAAGAAAAAAATACACAACCACTCTTCCTTTTTGGCTAACTTTTCAACTCGACCAGGTCAGCTCAGGGTCAGAAACACCAGGAAATACAAGGGAGACTGCAGCAGAGAATGAGAGGCTAAAGGTTGGAAGGCAAAAGTCTGAAAGAGCAAAAGCCTGTGTTTTTTTAATTTATTTTTTTCACTTTTTTTACTTTTCTTTTTTTACTGAAAAGTAACCCTTTCCAACTGTTACATCTTTGCACACCAACACATTCTCGTAGCATAAGGCTTGACAAGCTGCTAACCAGACTGTCTGCTGCCAGAAAGGTGGTTTCAAACGATCCCACTTTGTATTCCCAACAATTCTCTTGGGCTAATCCTGGCGCTCAACTGTTGCTGCAGTAAAGCACTTCAGGAAGCTGCATTGGCCAAAAACTGATCAGAAGAAAAAGATGTTTCTTAGCTGCACCCCCTGCAGCAGCATAAGGAAAGATGAGACTAGCACCAGTGCTAGATCAAGGGAGAGAGCTGAGCATTTCCTTAAGCAGTGACTCGCTGTTAGATAGGTGTAGCTGGAGCATCCTGCTGAGGCCCTTCAAAAACACATGCTCTCAAGCCAGCTGTGGTTGAGCAAGCAGCCACAGCAGACTGCTCTCAAAAGAAAGCAGTAAAGTGGGTTAGAGGACAATGCTGCAGCATGAGAGCTGAACTGGGGGAGGGGAGAGAAGGGTGGAAAAGACGACTTAACATTTCTCAGTTTACAGTATGAACAAATTGAAATCCACAGAATATAAAAATTTGTTGATGAAATATGCCTGACCTCAAGACTTCGTTTAAACCCAAGAGAGCTTTCCTAACATGCCTAACTTGGCCCAGAACAGGATTTTACTCAGTCTTATGCACAGATAACAGAAATCAGCAAGGGATCCATTTCTGAAAAGATTTGGGAATAAAACAATGCAGAATTGTCTAAGCAGTGTAGTCAAAAATAAAGAATAACTTTGTGTAATACACCGATACATTTTGAAAACTCTGATGCTAGTCTAAAGTGACATTTTGCTTGGCTAAAAGTATTATGAAGACTGAGTTTCACCCCTGTAGTATCAGCGCAAATTGTCTCCCAGTTCTAAAACACATGACATTTTTATCACAGTCAAATAGATCCACCATCACATACTTTTTCAGGAACAAAGTACGGTCATTCAGAATACAAAATACAGCTGTTCCCACTAAAAACTGGAGTTTATCTCTCAGGATCCTCAAAAAACTCAGTTTTAAAAGACACTGCAACCACTAAAAGACTACTTACCTAACCCACACAGTACTTTGCCACTTAAAGAAACCTGGTCATAGGACCACACCATTTTATCTCATCCCTAAAAATCTTTGGAAAAATCGACAGGTTTCATAAGAGGTACAAAATCATACATAAAATTATATTTATGTCAAATAATTTTTGCAAAGTTTACCTAGAGTTACTTGATAACAAGATGCGACAAAAACTTCCTAAGACTGTTGTCTATCCAAGTGCTATGTGGAGTACTGATTAACTGAATGGAAACATGCATTCTGTTTTCAGTCAAATTTTAAACCTACCAGGGTTGTCTTTGGCAACAAGACCTTTGGAAAAGTCACTTGGTGTAGGGGAAGTTCGGCTGTCCCTTTTGGCTGCATCTAGGTTGTTACAATATTCCCACCTCTTCTGCTGAAGTTCCTGAAGCCAGTAGGTCATATCCTGACGAGTTGCAGCCTGCAACACAAAGAATCAGAGGTGATGATGAAACCACTGTCTTCAGTATATGAATACAGTAATTCCAAACGCAATTAAAAAAAAAAAAAAAAAGCAAACACCACACAACCCAAACCTCAGGTAATTAGCAGACCAGCAAGGTATCACCACCCAAGCCCAGTATGATTTAAAAGAAATAACCACCAATGTACTGGTTACACCACGTGCACACATCCACATCATTGACTTTCATGCCAAATCCATTTTCCATTAGAAGTAGTCACATGCATTTTTTTCCCCTCCAGTTTTACACAAAAACATGAGGAAAGGCAGCAACAGCATCTTACACTTTACACAAAAAGCCTAACTTTATATATATAAACTAGAAATACGTATTAAGAAATAAAAAGGTCCCACACACTCAGGAAGATTCTCTTTTTCCTTTTTTAACTTGCTTTATTACCAGCAGGAAACAACAAATTAATAGTGCATTGTAATGCCTCTTACCTTACTGACTACATCTACATACCATATTATTTGAGGATCCCATGAGCTAACTTCCATAGAAAAGTCATATTTAAAACAAAAGTACCCAAATGAGAATATTTAATCTATAAGCCTACAGTCATTAACATGAACAGGCAATAAAGCGATCAAGAATTCATACACAACTTTAAGCTTCAGGAAGAATCACAGCTGTAAGAGTAATTTCAAGGTGTGTCAAACAACAATCTACAAATATCAACAAGAGACTAAGAGATGTTAGCTGACATTGCACTTGGAAAAGTAATTTCTATTCCAACACACAACCTCAGCCACCAGCCAAGGCGAGGCACCCGACACCAGTAACAAGGTATGTTCAGGAACACAAAGTTAACCCTTGTGAAGAGAGGCTCACCTAAGTCCTTCGCCTGGTAAGCACCCCGAGTGATTATCTTTCAGCTAGTCTTTTTCCTGCCTTCTCCCAAAGAGCTTGGTAGTATTATCAGTGAAAAACCTTAATTACTTGGTGTTTTGCCAATGACCAGGCCCAACAAAAATGACAGCACCATCAGGAAGACGAACCAATACACAGACTGTATTATAAACAAAAACATTATGATATGAATGACCACCGGGGGTACAAACAAGTCAACCAGCTGGTACATAAATGACACCACCCCCAACGATCCCACAAAAGATGTGACTCGGCCCACAACAGGGGGTACAAACAGAGACCTGAGGTTGCCCATAGTTGGCATGGGAAACAGTCAGACCAGCAAGCTGAACACATAAGAGAAAGGTGACCACATAGTGACTCTCACCTGATCAGCTCGCGTTCACAAAGGTCTTAAGCAGACTGGGGCCAAGCTCCAGGGAGAGTCAGGAGGTCCTTCCCCAACCAGGAAGCTCTGTGGAGTGCACTCCACAGACAGACACTCCTGACTCCCTGCAGGTGGTCCCAGCTTTTAACCCCAAGCAGACACCTGGCCTTTGTCAACTCAATGTGGGACCCCTGGGGCTCATTTCCCTTATGGCTCTCCCTGCAGGGCCGGCTGCACCCTGGGGGGAAGCTATAAGGCAAACTCACCACCTCTTTATGAAGGGCTGTGGGAATCACCCATATGTCAACCTTAATTTGGGGGCTCGGGGTTCAAACCCCAGCATTTCACTTGGGCAACTGACTGTGTTTACTCTTTAAAGACAACTTAATTTCGGCTAGCTTCCTGTTCTACCACAGCTGAAGAGGGTACCTGTGCAGGGCATAGCTGCAAAAGAGGAAAGAGCAACAAACAACACAGATTTCCTTACGAAGGAATATAAAGCACATAACAAGCACAGATTTGTCTTCATTTTTGACATGAGAACACTTTTGGACTAGCCAAAGTGAAGATCCATTGACCACCACGTTTTGATCCTGAGAGCAGCTAATTACAAGACAGAGCATAAGGAATATGGCAAACAAGAACTGAAATTCCCCAGGTGCCCCCTCTGGCTCAGCAATCTGCCATCTCAGTGGTTAGCTAGAACAGAGAGAGATTTTTGTTTTACGATTTGTCTTTTCATACCTGTATAAGCTTTAACATACACAACATCCTACAGCAAGTGGCTCCAAAGCACTATGCAAGGAAGTTAATCAGAAAACAGGCACAGTTATTCCTGGACCTGCTTCTCCAGTTCCTCTCACTACATCAGACATATGAGAAGACAGGAGATGCATAAATGAAGGAAACACTGATAAATCAATAGTGACACAAGAGGACACTGCAGGTGTCTGCACTTTTCTCAGTTGTTGAGAAAGGTAGGTAAGCAAGGTATTTCTAAACTGAAATGAAAATTAGTTTCATATACATACACTTGCTTGCTCCCAGGAAAATGGAGGAAAACATTCCTCTCATAAAAAAGATATAGAAAAGAAATAGTCTAAAAGTGTCTATGAGGTTTCTCAAAAAGTGTCAAAGGACTGAACACTGGGAAACATCAACCCATATATCCATCACTGGCAGTTCTGGAATGACCACAGCAGCAGGCTTTAAGTTTAATGACTCAACACTTCACAAAGAGTAAACTCCCCTTCTGTTTCTAACACAAAAGGATTTCCTTTGAAGTTTAATCCCATCTTCAAGTCTTCATTTCTGGTCCATTTGACAGTCTATATTCCCTTTTGATAGAATTGTACACAGGCCTTGTAAATCAGTGTTTTACTGTGCTCAAGAAGAAAACCACCAAGAATTCAGAGAACTTGCACCAACACAGGATGTAGTACTTCAGTGGCCCTCTTTGCTACCACAACATAGCTAATGAGGCAATTTATCTGGAGCCCATCTAAGTTATGCCTACAATTAACTTTTGCCCACCTAGTTCAACCTAATGAGCCGCCTTCACAGTTTGTCCATTATGCTCTCCCCAACAGTCTTTAGAAAACCATGAATTGATTTTATTGGAGTTGCACCTTGTTTTTACTTTTACATTCCCAGTCACCCTTGTTCTCTGCTGAGCAGCACATACACGTCCTCAGTTTACAACTGATGTAACTTTTACACACTGCATCAGTTAGCAGTTATGGTCCTTCAGCATAAAACAGGACAGCAAAGCAGTACATGCTTCTCACTCCCTTAAAGTATTTTTCCCAATGATTACTTGGTACCCTACTGCTGCAGCACCCTGCCTGTTACTTTGCCTCCCTCCTTCGCAGTCTTTTTTCTCATACAGAATTTTCCACTCCCTTTGAACAGTTTTCACTGAGTTTATGCAGACATCTTAATTATTTAATTTACAAGTAAAAGAGTATCCTGAGAATCTTTAAAATTAGTTTTGTTTAAACAAAATTAAACTCTGAAGCTTGTTTAAAATTGACTTTTGATTTTAAAAACCACACATAGAATATTTTGAGTTTCCTTCTTCCCCTACTCCTAAACAGAAGACAAATTTGCAAACATTTAATTCACTTTACCTGTCAGAGATATGAACACTTCCAGGCTTGCCCCCTTTCTCAAAACTTCTGAGTATTTGGCTGCTGCCCACCATGAGAGACAGAACATTTAACTAGATGCAGTAGCCATGGAATCTCACAAAAATTTTTACTAAACTACAGCATGGCACTGCAGTAAGAAAGAAGCTAGGCTAGTCACATTTTAATGGAGGCATCTCTGTGAGAAGAAAAAAAAAAAAACCAAAATGCCATCTGACCTGGTGCACAATAAGGAATTACTATTGCAAACTTGCAGGCAACAGTAGCAAAAAAAGACACTCTAAGTGAAGAGACATACAGTCCCATGTATTTTTCAACATAAATGACAGAAAATTATCATTTACTTAAAACCATTCCCCTATATTCTCACATGAAGGATGCTGCAGGAACTGCCTTCTGATGCACACGTGACACAAACAAGAGAATTATTTTGGGAAAACAACTACCTATGCTGCCTTCCAGGATGTGAAGGCAGCCTACAAGAAAGCAGAGAAGGGACTTTTTGCAAGGGCTTGTAGTGATAGGATGAGGGCTAACAGCTGCTATCTGGAAGAGTGGAGATTTAGATGTAAGGAATAGGTTCTTCCCTGTGGAGATGGCAAGACAGTGGAACAGGTTGCCCAGGGAAGCTCTGGCTGCTCCATCACTGGAGTTGTTCAAGATCAGGTTGGATGGGGCCTTGCACAACTTGATCTAGTGAGAGGTGTTGCTGCTGAT